CTTTTACACATTCCATTTCAAGTTTACATATGTCGTTTTAAGTTTACATATGTCGTTTCACGATTACATATGCCGTTTCACGATTACATTATTTTTGGTGGTAACGGCCGCCCATATATATCCTTGCTGTGTCTCGCCTTATAATATTTTTCGCCTGATTTAATAGATCAATGATGTTTAGATTTACACCACCACATCTCATTGCTTGTTCCGCAAGCACCTCCAGACGCCTTAGACATAACTCACGATTTTCATGATAATTTGCTGTCAGGATACAATCAATTTCTTCAACAGTGTCTCTCAACAGTCTAATGAACGCCTCGGTCATGTTCACGAAATCATCTATATACTACAAAAACAACATTTGTGCCCTCTGAAAAATTTACTTAAGTTCAATGACTATTAAAAATACCTTCATGCAGTGACATACCTTTTTACTATATGCTATTTGTATTAAGGCTTTTGCATATCTTACTAAAAATAACCCGGTCCGCAATCCGCAATTCCCCGTAACCGTAAATTGTACCGTGTGGCGTGGCGAATAAATATTTTAAAAACGTTTCGCCTACGGGTAAAGTGCTGCTCTTATTATTTACATAATGTCAAGCATTCTGCGTGAACTACATACTAGTATGTTCAAAATATCGATGATATTTAAAATTTATTCAATAATTTTATATACTAAACTCTGTGGAGTGGTAAAAGCTCGATCAGTCGAGCGTGCACTTTATACATAAATTACTTACTGATGGACAATATAACTCAACGAAATTACAATCAAAACTAGTTGTGAACTAAACTCATTACCATGATAATAAATCTTAGGCATTAATATGTAAAAATAACGAAAATATACGTACTTTTCTTCTAATAACTTGGATGTCGGAATACGTTGCTTTGTTGTTGCAAAAATTCCCGCTTTTTTGCACTGGAAACGTCATGTTCTATTTATGAAATACGTGACCACGTGCGTTAAGCTATTTGACAAAACATGCCATTTGACAAAACATGCTATTTGACAAAACATGCCATTTGACAAAACATGCCATTTGACAAAACATGCCATTTGACAAAACATGCCATTTGACAAAACATGCTATTTGACAAAACATGCCATTTGACAAAACATGCTATTTGACAAAACATGCCATTTGACAAAACATGCTATTTGACAAAACATGCCATTTGACAAAACATGCCATTTGACAAAACATGCTATTTGACAAAACATGCCATTTGACAAAACATGCCATTTCACAAAACATGCTATTTCATTCAACAAAGACATATGCGATTGCGCGTTTTGTTATACCATTTGTCTTTAACATATACCATTTAGACACGCGAGGACATACGGTTTGACTTTTACACATTCCATTTCAAGTTTACATATGTCGTTTTAAGTTTACATATGTCGTTTCACGATTACATATGCCGTTTCACGATTACATTATTTTTGGTGGTAACGGCCGCCCATACACGAGACTCAGACAAACAAACTAACATTTTGTATAGAATTGTACTAGCAGCGAACATAAATTGGTCTAAATTGACGTTTTTATTTATTTTATCTGTGCTAAAACGAATTCAAATTTATCCCAAATTACAAACATGGTTAATGCTAAGCACTGTTGCTGGGGAACATGTCCAAGTGATTCGAGATACTAAGAAAAACTGCCGAAACAGGGAATTGAAAAGTCGGACGGGACGGGAATGTCTGCAGTAGCAATGTGTTGATTGTTATTGACTGCGGACTGTGCTGGTTTTTCTCCAAGAATTCTCGCAGCTAACCATTTCCCCCCGTCAATACATCCAGCGAATGATGCTTTCCCGAACTCGCTGAAGAAGAACTTGGCGTTTTATACCGCTTTGCTATAATACCGCTTACTTGGCGTTTTATACCGCTTTGCTTTGTTTAATCGACAGTATAAGCTGATGGATCATGCTCAAAATATGAGTCTGGGACGCCATCGTTTTCAGTGAGAGCGTCTAAATTTATTACTGAGAGAGAAGCAATAGTTTACCAGACAGTGTTAGGCTATTAATTAACACAGTGTTGGAGGGAGGTTCTCTATTTTACAAAACTGAATATTTAAAAATAGAGAAATAAAAATGTTGTTTTTATAATAACATATTTGTGTTCTATTGTCAAAACAAAATAGTTTTACTGGTCAACGGAAGATTTTATAATTGAGATTTTATATAGTTTGTAGTTTATCTTTGACATTTTTTAAAAGTTTAAATTTGAAAGTATTATAGTTTTAATTACATTCCTAATAAATCCGTATTTTATAAGTTGAATATGTAGTCAATAGATTATAGTAAACAATCCTAGCTTCTTTGGCTTTGGACTTTGCTATTAATTATAGAGATGTCTAAAGTAATAAAATAATGCACACTAAAGCGAGTATTAAAATATAAGTTAGTATAAACATGAAATCAACAACATTAAAAAGGGAACTTTAGAACTGATTCGCTAGGGCTACGAATTAAATCTGGTACGACTACGAGATTTTTTCGGTTAAATATCTGCTACTACAGACTTTCTATTGCCCTTTCTTTTGCATACCCTTTCTTTATGGCCTCTTTTATAGCAACAGTTACGCCAAACCATGTACTATTATAATACAGTAGACACCGCTTATGATAGAAACGACGACAGTCGATACTAAAGTGACGAAAAAGTGTATATTTCTACTTCCAAAGCAAAAATATTTTGCACTGGCACTTCAGGTAAAGCGAAAAGTACAAGGTGTGTATGATTTCGCACAAATAAACCGTAAACAAACATCAAACTATCAAACTAACTCACAGGAAGCTCTCAATCATAATACTATTTATATTAAATGTTGCCAATGTTTGTCTGAGTCTCCGCGGGGGGTCGAATTTTCGTGACGTCAATTACGGACAACGCTAATTCAATTGGACGCACTGTATTTCCCATATTGCTGTTCCTTGCACAACATCCTTCACTTTCAGCAGAATTGTGCGTTAAAATGCTTGCTGCACGGCGTAATATTAAAAGTTGCTGCTTCTTGTGATTTTGAGTAACAATGTTGGAATAATTAGAGATAATTAAAATTTTTGCGGGAAATAAATTATCATTAAATCGAGTTGAAAATTGTGTTCTGAGGGTCACGCATAATGTTACGTCATCACAATGGAATGATTAAGGCCAAAATGCGCAAACAGAAGTGCAAATGCAATTGCGAACATCAAAATTCAATTCTTTAATATCAAAATTCAATCATTGATATCAAAAAGCACGGAACGAACAACAAAATCTAGAACTTGGAATGCAAAATTCAAACATTAATTTTGGCGGTAATCACCCTCCATAGTCTTCATGATCTATAAGAGACTTAATATCAGTCGCAAGAGCTACAGCCTACAGCATTGAATCACTTTAGCTTCCTCCGCAGACAACTCTTTGGCAAAAATGTAAATATTAAAAAAAATTGGCAAAAATGTAAATATTATAGGGTTACGCTTTCCAATCCCTAACTTTAAATTCGCTGTTATTCATAATACTTTTGCCAATTTTTGCCAGAGAGTTACCTGCGGAGGAGGCTAGAATCACTTTAGAGTAGCCCGCTCTGGAAGACCCAAGGATAGCCAACTCAGCCTGTGAGTTTTGGACATCAGATCACTTCAGAGCAGCGTAAATCCAAGAACATGTACTTCTGTATCATATAATTAAAGGCTAGATCACTTGTTACTTTGAGATTTAAATGAATTCTAATTACATTATAGTCTTAATTAAAGCCAGTTACAGACGCGCAAGTGTTTATATGGCAGGGTTTTTTTTGCCAAGTGCACGTGTATACAGTATGTGGAACAAATGTTCTATGACAAGTTTTTGGTTTTCTGACCACCACGATAGCTGCATGTTATCCAGGTTATCCATTACAACAATAGATAGCTGTGTTGGTGTAGTGTACTCAGGTGAATATCATATTCACCTGAGTACACTACACCAACACAGAAAAAAATCATATTACTAGAATACATTGATATCGAAGGAACTAGATTCTGTTCCGAAATATCACTTACTCGAACCGTCCTGACCGCGTAGCTCAGTTGGAAGAGCATTGGGCTAGTATTCCAAAGGTCGTAGGTTCGAATCCCACCGTGGCCGGGCATATTTTTCAAGCTCGCCCGGTGTGGATATACACTCAGAGTAACACCACAAATATTATAATAGATAGCTGACCAACTTCACAATCACACACCAAGCTTTCTAGTTATATGCCAATCTGCGTAATGGTCAACACTGAATGTGTAATGAATGATTGCAGCTATAGACTACATTTTGATACAGACAAGAAGGACAAGATCTATCATATTATAGCTTGAAAGAGCATCCTTAAATTAGTAAAATTGCCAAATTTGGTTGCAAAATGTTGTAAAATATAGCCCTGTGGAAATTAGCAAATTTTGAGTATTTTAGTATTTAAACGCGGGAAAATGCACCATGCACTACTTTTGAGCGATCGTGACTAAAACACCACACGAGTACATACGAGTAACATACGAGTACATACGAGTAACATACGAGTACATACGAGTAACATACGAGTACATACGAGTAACACACGAGTACATACGAGTAAAATACAAGTACATACGAGTACATACGAGTAGAATACGAGTAAAATACGAGTAGAATACGAGTAAAATACGAGTAGTAAACTTGTTTTTAGTGTTTGTAGATTGAATACAGGCAAAAAGATCGTCTTCTCTGTCGAAAAACGTGGAATGGGGGAACGGGCAATGGGGAAATGGGGGAAAGGGCAATGGAGGAATGGGGGAACGGGGAATGGGAGAACGGGGAATGCGGGAACGAGGGGGGGACAGGGGAATTATGAATTATTATTAATACGTAATATTAATCATATGTACGGGGGGAAAAAGAACAGAAAAAAGAAACAGAAATTCGAAAGGATAAACGGGAATCGGGGAATTACGAAACTATAAAACGGACTCTGGTGTCTTGGGAATTAGAAAACCGCTCAATGAATTAAAACTAGTAAAGAAATTTAGCGAAGCTTTATTATTATTATTATTATTATTATTATTAAAACTTATTTACAAACAATAACCCTTCAGCCTACGCTGCTTTTAAAGGGGTTGTTTACATAAAAGAAAGTACAAAATAAATATTTACAAAATAGTATAAGTATTTACAAAATAGTGTAATTGACTAGGAGTCTTTACAATTGGATATTTTATCAACGTAGGTGATTGTTGAGCTTAGTTTTAAAAGAATGTATAGTCAACTGTTCGTGAACGTCTAAGATTTCGTTAGGTAATGAGTTCCAGGCGGAAGCTCCTCGATATGAAAATGACTTTTTCATAAATGATCTATTAGATTTATCGAGAGTTAGTTTCCGCCCGTTGCTCCGCATGTGGTGACTTCTATTATCACAGTAGGAGAACATATTACAGATGCACTCCGGCGCTATACCTCGGATAGCCTTAAACGTAATTAGAAATTCTCTTTTTTTAAGAATGTTATCTATTGGATGCCAAACTAGACTCTGGAGGATTGTTTTTGATCTTGTTTCATAGTTTAATCCAGTAATTATACGAGCGGCTCGCTTTTGTAATTTATAAAGTTTTTCCAAATTTGTTTTGTTTCCATCGTTCCAAACTGTCGAACAGTATGTAAAGTAAGGAACTACCAGGGAATTGTAAATGCGGAGTAAGTCGTTGTAAGGTACGTGTGGTTTTGCCTTTCTAAGCAGAGCTATTGCACTTGAAAGTTTTTTGCATTGCTCATTAATGTGTTCAGTCCACCTTAGTTCGTTATCAATTGTAATACCTAAGGGTTTTTTTTTTGCTTAACTTGTTTAATAATGGATCCGTTTATATGTATACGAATATCAGTGCGATTAGTACAGCGTATCATAAAAAGGTCAATCCACATTGCTTATGTCCGATTATTAAGTAATATTAATAATATTGCTTATGTCATTACTAATATACTTGCTATATAATAAAACAAACTTAAGGGCTAGATGCAAGTCCAAGGCAGTCCTTATGCTCCATACGATATCTTAAAGTGATTATCCTATTTTAAATATCTTACAAAGCAAAACTAACAAAACACAAAATACTTCAAAATACGCAAATTTTAAGCTAGTAATTTAAGTTGGCAAGTACGTTTCTAAAGGACCCAGCCGAACTCTCCTGCAAGCTTTTGGACGTGCTCCACCTTGAAAAGGGAAGGAAAGTCTGGAGGAACGAGAACGTCGCCAAGAAAGCTTGGATACTTTGCTCTGATGCAGGCTGATCGGAAATGAAAATGCACGTTCTGAGGCTCACTTGAAAACTGGATTTGTCCTGCAGGGCCTTTTTTAACATATAAGCTGGGGGGGTGGGGGCATTTGACCCCCCCAGTCCCTCCTTGTGCCCCCCCCCACGAAATCACATTTTGCCCCCCCCCCAGAAAAAGTCCCTTTTTCCTAAATTTATACAAACAAACCAGCGAAGAATAACAAATTGATAAACGGAACGTAAGTTTTAGGCTTTATCCTTTGTCCTTGTTTAACAAAATCGATTTAAAGGACTGTGTCACCGCGTGCGCATCCTACGTGTTTCTAACACTAAGTAATGATAAATTATTGTTAATATTTTTAAAATTCTTTGTGCGTTTTTTCCTTCTTTTATTTCAAATAGAAGTATAGTTAGGATAAATTTTAGAGCAAATTTAGATGCTCAGACGGCAGGAACTAATGGCATTTTTGGGCTTCAAAATTTCAAATTTCAAAAATTTTCGGGGGAAGTATGCCCCCAGACCCCCCTATTCATTCACGGTATGTCGGCCACACACGTGACCCACGGCCATTACTATCCCCCTTTAATAATAAGTAATGGATAAATTATTGTTAATATTTCTTTTATTTTTTCTGCATTTTTTTCCTTCTTTTATTTCAAATACAAGTATAATTAGCATAAATTTTAGAGCAAATTTAGATGCTCATAAAGCAGGAAATGGCATTTGAAAGGTTCAAATTTAAAACATTTTCTGGGGGAGTATGTTGGCCACACACGTGGCCGTCGGCCATTGCTATCCCCCTCTAATATATTATCTGACAGAAAGATCCCTTTTCAAAAAATTCCCCCCACGGGAAAATCCTTAAAAAAGGCCCTGTTGTCCTGTATTTCGGTCTCGGAACTGTCGTATGTCGTCACGGTATAAGTTAACTGTGTAGTTCGTATATTTGCCTAGCCACATATTGTGATTGAGGCTATGTGAGGATTGTAAGTTGATCACCTAGTACTATTTAAGTATAGATGCAGTTAGGTTATGTGCATGCTCACAGGGTTTTGAAAGCAAACCATGCCGTGAAATATGTGAAGCCTATGGTTTGTGTCATGTATCTAACTATCTAGGTAGAATACCTAAAAGTAGATGTTGTACAAACTACAAAGTTGTGGTTTATAGA